CGTTATTTTTACTTTCAAGATAAAAACTTTTCATACGATATGTCTCGGAGAATTTTCACGGACTGAAACTTTCTTCCTGAAAGTTCTCAACCACTCAATTCCAAAAGTCCTCCTCGATTCTCCAAACAAGTATTTTCTTCCTTTCCGATAAAATTTAAATTAGACTCAAGACAGATACAAGGAAGAGAAAAATAGAAAAATTTGTTTACGACAAATATTTTTATATTTTTATAATCTCATCATGGCGACGTATACTATTTATGAAATGATATTTTAATAACGAAGATTTTTAACAGTCTTTAATAAAACATGTTATCGTAAAAATGATAATTAATCTTTCCTACCTTGAGGATAAGCGTAATATTAAAATAATTATTCAAATATTAATTATGTTAATTTCTCATAATAACAGGGCATTTAAGAAACAATGAACTGCTGCTGTTATGAATTATAATATTTTTCTAATTTTTTTCTATGAATATAATACGCGACTAAAACATTGCACTGTGCGATCTTTCATCCATTTCGCATACAATTACTTCATTTCCACACAATTACTGCGTTTCTCCCTCGCTCAAAGTAGCTCAGTGCAAATATTATTCTAAACTCGAACAAGTTACAACACACAAAACACATGTTCATTACTATATTATGCCATGTTCGGTTTGTGAACAAACAGGAATAACAAATATATCAAAATTGAATCCTATCCTAAAACAATTAATTTGTAGTCATTTTTATATTTGTAATAATAAGGAAAATAAGGTATCGTGTAATAATATATTATTGCAATTATACCTATATTTATTGTTTAAATGTTATTTAAATGACACAAAAATATTATATTTATAAATATCTGTATACTATATACAATGATAGTAATTGATATAAAATATAGTTATATAATAAATATAGAGATTCCAAATTACTATATATTCCTATACCAAAAATACAAATTTTTACGTATATTTACATATTTATAACATATACATATTTATATACATGATTATAATTACTACATAATAAATATAGAGATTCATTTAGAGAGATTCTATTAGAGAGATAATAAATAAGAGATTCTATTATTATAATAATATAATAATATATATAATAAGTATAGAGATTGTAAATTACTATATATTCCTATACCAAAAATACAAATTTTTACGTATATTTACATATTTATAACATATACATATTTATATACGTGATTATTATAAAATATATATAATATATATTAACAAATATAAGATATGTTTTATATAATTATACTTATAACATATAAATATTTATATACATGATTATAATTAATATATAAGCCGTTCACTGCACAAATCGATTAACTCCACTTTTTGAAAAATTTTAAATATAAAAAATTATGACTATGCCAAATGCTTTGACACTTAAATTTAAATTTATTTTTCAAAAAGTGGAGTTAATCGATTTGTGCAGTGAACGGCTCATATAATTGATATAAATATGCTATTAATATAAAATATATATGTATAATCCGTAAAATGACATTCGAAAATAGATTATTAAATGCATCAACCATCTTCACAATAGGGACTGATATCGATGCAACACAGAAATAATTTAAATGCAACGTCAAGAGGAGGAAAAAGAGGATTACTTTTAGATATGCATGATTTTGTCAGTGCACGAAATGGCTCCATTTATTTTTACTCTTAAGCTCTAAGCAAAATTCTCGACACGCTGTATGCTGTCCAGTTTCCGCGATGTCTTTTCGTACGTTCCTACGGAGAGAATATAACGGAGGGAATATAAACTAAGCCAGAGTGAATATCAAACAGAAAAATAAACTAGAGCACGAGTATTTATTTCGGTTTACTTTACACCGCGTGTTTTGTATTGCTCGGGTGTATTTTAATATTCCTTTCATAAACGAACATTTCTAAAAAAAAAAAAAAAAATTTGTAATATTGCCAGAAGGGAGAAATAGATAAGAAATATACGTTTCCTTCTTTTTCCAATTTCTTAAAAATATTTTAACATTTTACGTACTTACCACAACGGTCTTTCAGATATTAGTAACCGATCCTGATAAAATATACGTAAGATATAATTTTCAACAAAAATTTATATATAAATATAACTGAATAAATCCAATATTATTTAAACAAATTGTTACGACACGACGTGTGCCACCCGTGACGACCTATTCCGGACACCGTCGCCGAACCGACACGACTGAAACGCTAAGTGCACGATTGTGATCCCGCAATCGAGACCCCTCACCTCGACAAGGTATAAGCACTTGAGGGGGGCACGGGGGTTTAATCACAGAATCACAATCGCGCACTTAGCGTTCCAGTCGTGTCGGTTCGACGACGGTGTCCGGCCCGGAATCGGTTGTCACGGGTGGCACACGTCGCGTCGTAACACAAATTGATATTATAAAAACTCAATTATCTATTAAAATTAATACAATAATATTATATAAAACAAATAATATTGGTACTATCTTTTTTCTTGCCTCATTTTTATATTTGTCCAAATTTGGGTAATGAAAATAACAAAATTAATTCATTAAAAGATATTATCTTTTAATATATTCTTAAACAAATTAATTTTATGAAAAATCTTATTATCTTAATATCTTTCCACGTCGAGTAATTTTAGAATAATTAAAAAAATTATATTCTTCATCTCCCCTTTGAAAAATTATTTTCAGTCTCTACTGGTTAATTACGAACAAAAAGAAAGACTCGAATTAAACATTTTTTTAAGGGCTATGTTTTCCATAAATTTCATGAAAATCGGTTAGTAATACTTGGAGAACCTTCCTCATAAACGTACAATTCCATAAAATCTTCTCGAAAGATTAAACATGCGTATTTTCATTTAACATGACACGCGAATAATACATAAAACGATAATACATAGTATAAGAAGAAAGCGACTTGGCGTTCTTATTTCACTTGCACTGCGACTCAAAGTGCACCGGATCACGAGTATGGCGATAACGAGAGAAAGAAGAAAAATTCCTCCCGAATGACTTTAAAGAGGAACGTCCCGGGAAGAACGAATTTAGTAATTCACCAACTGCAGTACTTATCGAAAGTCGTGGTGAAACACTAGGTCCCGACGGAAAACAAGAAGAAGTAATGGAGAAGATAAAATGATAGGAGCAAAGAGGGAGTTAGAGGGAGACAGAGAGAGAAAGTACGAGATAGGAATGAGAAGAGGAGAGAGACGGAGAGTACACACGTTCCAGTTGGCACGTAAAAATAGTAACCTCGGTTTGGTTTTGCCAATTTAAGAAACTGTTTCTTTCAATCCCATTTCTGGAGCTCTCAACGAGGCTACGAAGTGCCCCATTCGAACTATCTGTCCTTACTACGCTCTCCATCCTTCTCGCCCAATCGAAGAAGAGGGCGCTCAGATCACTTTCTAGGTTATGTTAGTTAGCATTCACGAAAGTCACTAAAGAATCCGACCACATTTTGCGTTTAATTGTATTATTTTATTAAATTATTGGATTTTTGTTTCTAGATCATTCGATAATAGAATAAATAAATTAACATTAACACTACCAAAGGGCTCAATTATTTTTACCATTAATTTTCACAAAGTTAATATTGATTTTTACGTAAATAGAATCGTAATTATGTATATTTCTTTACTTCCATTATACCGCTTTAATTAATATGTATTATGTACACTGAATTTAGGTACAAATTACAGGTTAGTACTTTTAGGGTTAAAAATGGATACCGAATTTTTCTTTTCTTATTCATATATAAAATATAATAAAGTACATTGGTTATTAATAATAATGAAATATATATTTAATGTGGTCGGATAGCTTCATCACCTAACCTATGTTTATCTTTCCACTTTATCTTATCGTTTTAAGAAATTTTTTACATGACTAAAGACCATATGGAAATTAGTTACTTTGAAATTTATCAATTCCGAAAAGAAGCAAATTAAATTTCAAAAATGAAAATTATTCTATCTTTAAATGGAATAATTAGGTTCAACAGAGTAACTATTTCTTTAGAAAAAATACAGAAGACTATGGATGGTAACTTTAGAAAATTATCAGATGAGTGATACTGATTAAATACAAATTGATAATCTTAACAAAAATAAGGAAAAATTAATATTAATGGAAAAACTCCAATTTAACTTTATGCTAGTGTCTTCTCTACTTTTGGGATATTCAAACATCAGACTTAAGAGTAGAAAAATATTAGGATAAAAACATGAATGCTACTTAAATTACAATTAATAACTGCAAAATAAAAAAAAGAAAACAGAAATATTAAAATTGATATAGTGATCCTAGTTTAATTTTAGACTTGCTACCCTTCTTTTATTTTAAAGCATTTCAACTGTTAAACTCAAAAACAAAAAGGATATCGTAATCAGTTGTATTATAATAAAAAATTAAATTGTTGCATCTGCACTGATTAAATACTAATTAAATAACGATTACTAACTCTAAAATAAAAAAGAAATCTTGATATTGGTCTCGTTTCTTATCTTGGATCATTTTGGATATTAGTCTCGAGAGTAAAAACATGATTAATTATATCATAACAAAAAAAGAAAACTAAACTGATACTATACTTTATTATCATAGGAAGCAAGATAATTAAAAAATCATTTATTTAACTAAGACAATTTATATAATAAAACCTACCATAATATTAAATACATCGTGTTTCTCTCCTAGAATTTAGTTACCCTAATTATTTCATTTTGAATAACTTGAATATTTTGTTATATAAATATTTTGTATAAATTATATATTTATTATTTAAATATTGTATAATTATATATTCGTTATTTAAATATTTTGAATAAAATAAATGAAATAACAAGTAATTTTCACATATCATACATTGTTATGCATATTATCCATTTCTTTCTAATTTCGTGTAATATTTTGCTAAAGAATATTTCCACCTTCTACTTGCCTGTTACAAAGTTTTAGTTAGTCCTTTTATGATAAAATATATTAGACTCACCCCTTAGCGCATCCGCTGTTGTTGCCAGAAGACCTTGCAAACTTCTGCTGTGGTGATGGATCAAGTCGTGAAAATCTGCCCTAGCTTGATGTCTTAACTGTTCCTCAGTCTCCAAGTTGCAGCACATGCCATTACAAGTTGCTAAAATAAAATTTACCGCTTAGAATTTAGAACCAAAGTTCTTGTACAGTTTCTTTAAAATATAGATAACGTAGATAATTGCAAAATGTATTCAAAATTATTTTATGAATAACTGATGTTTCAGTAACATAAATGGCACGACTATAAGTAATTTTAATGAGATAATTGCTCACATGCGTAGCATAATTTATCGCAATGTCGAATTAAAAATAACAAGATTAATTACATAAAAATATATTTGATTACATGAAACACTGATATTTTATATATATATATATTTTAATATTATTTTGTTAAATAACGAATAAAGATAAAGTACGAATATATAAATATAAAGTGTACAAAAAATATATATATGTATATATAAAAATTTATGTAAATAATTGTTAGATCCTAATTATTCTCGTTGTCAAAATATATCATAATTACAAAATAATTAAAGTAATTAATCTTCAAGAATATCTATTTCATCTTTTAAGCTATATTTTTTCTGCTAATTAATGCAAAGTCAATTACATGTCATTATTACATATTAATATCGTTTATCACCGAAATATTAACGTGACTGAAACAATTTCATTAATTCGAGTACTTTCGTTAATAATAACATCCACAAAGAACGCTATATATTTATATTTGCATACGAATGAATACGCACTTTATGTCCATATTATATCTTTAATGTTTAATACAAACTATGTTTCATAACGTCGTCATAATATCGATATGATTAATTATTAATAAAGGCTGAAGTTTTTAAATGAAAACACCACAGCAGTCTGTTCACAACGGGTCCATTCGAGCGTAACTATTTTATTAATTACCAACGAATATATCCTATTACGTAAAATCTGTAAAATCTTTACGTGACACATTACTTTGTAAACATGTCGTTAATCTTGTATGGAAAATTGTACAAATAATTTTTGCAATAATCAATCTTGAAAATATTTATTTTCGAATTTAACAGTGAAATTTTACTTTTAAAGTAATTTATTTTCAAAATAATTGTTCTTATAAAAATTAAGTTTGAAAATATTTATTTTTAAGAGAGCTGATTGAAATTATACAAAATATAAAGAAATAACTTTTGCATTACTCTTTTCATTACCATGATTTTTATTTTAATCTTTTCCAAGTTACAGGAGATACTATACATTCGCAATATTTTCAAAATTTGTATAAATTATGTCTATAATAAAGGAATAAAATATTCAAAGAATTCGTAAGAACTCATGTGTAGATATACCGTAACTTATGACCGAGTGAAAGAAGAAAAAGACACTTGTTTATAAAAGAAAGAAAAAGTCGAGAATGTTTTCGACGCGCCTTATCTTCTCTTGCAACGATCAAGATTATCTACGTATCAGTTTCTTCACTCCATTAGCAAACCCAAAGTTTTTATTTACTTTCATTAATCATTCCAAAACACGTTATTATCGAATATTACAAAATTTGTACCTTGTACCACAAATTAAGTAATGTGATATTTTAGAAAAAAAAGAAGAACTATCATATCGCGAGTCATTAAGAAATAACATTAATAAATCTGACAGAATTTTGATTGGATACTCATAGTTTTATCAGATATTCTTTAGGTTTACGTCTAATATGAGAAAGCAAATTAGCATTTAATTTTTAAATAAATGAAAGAAATATTAGATACGCCTCACTTAATAGAAATATTTTTCTGAGTACCTTTTTATGAATTTTGTTCGTATTTACAAATATTAAATTTGCCATTATATGATATTTATAAATTATAAACAATATTATAAGTAATATTACATCGAGAAAGTAATATAAAATATTAATAATTATAAATTATGATTTATTTCTATAACTTTATTATTTAATGTAATTATTATATTGACATACTTACAATTATTATTATATAAATAATTATGATCTTTTTCATCTACTTGGAATAATATAAAAAAAAGATTATAAATTTCTTCAGTCTTTATTTAAGTATTTATTAAGTTTGCTTAATTTTTATGCTACCTTTTCGTTTTACTATAACTCAAATATTTTTCTATAATCTTCATTATATCCTATACGAAAAGACGAAACTAAAATTTCGTGAAAAAAAGATTCCATAACTATTAAAAAATTATATTAAAAATATCAAACATATCTTATAATGTGTAGCATACAAATATTTACAGAAAATAAATAAAATTTCAAGGACCAATGATAAAAGAAATAACAAGAAAATTCAGTCTACGATAAATTCAATAACACTTTGGTATCAGACTTGCATCGATAAACTTCCGACATACTTTAAAATACAAATACAGGTATAGCCTCTGCCTC